CCCATTAACACATAAAAGCGTTGGCTATCGTTGCCGCTGCCTATTCTGGCAGGGGAGTTGCTTCTGCCCTTTTAAGAAAAACGTTACCCTTGACGGGAAGCCATCTGTTACCGTCACATGATTGTGCAAAGTGTATAACGCTGTCAAATCCGATGTATTTATTCGTATTGCCGTAGGGAATACGGTTTAGTGGTGCTCTAGGATCGTAAGAAAGGTACTTGGATCATGCATAAATCTCGCAATCCGGTATGCACTGGCAAAATTTTGTCGAAGCTAAGACGAATAGTACATATGTCTGCCATCTTGTCCAGTTCTACTTGTTCCGCATGACCCAGTTCATGGTGCAATTCATGTTAGACGCTCTGGGAATGAGAATGCGGTTGGAAAAGGCAGATTGGGGACTTGAAAGATAAACTGCGTGTTCTCTTTTAGGTCTTCCCAGAATGCACAAAGGACTTACGTGTCACGCCTTTCGCCGGACATCTGACATTATTGAGAGTTAAAGAGAGCTTCGCTTGAACCTGGCTTACATAAAACCTGACGCCTTGATCATTGGCCAGGAGAATAGCCATGCTTAAAACCGCAATAGTCAGTAACGGGACATTTATCTCAAGATCCTGGCAGACAGAGCAGCTGTAGGAATAACGTAGGAATTCGCGAAAAGGCGTCTGCATTGAGCTGTTGCTTCCCAAGGCAACATAGGACGGTAAAGTCAAAGTGTCCCAGCATCTCCCGCCACCGTCATATTCGACCTTTGGTTCAGGGAAACTCTGCAGCCACTGAAGAGCAGAATGATCCATTCTAATAGTAAACGTTTTACGCTAAAGAAAAGCCGAGAATAGTTTGTTGAAGCAAATCAAAACCAACATCATCCAGCGTTTAGCATTATAAGTTCGTTCCGATTTGTCAACTGTACGGCTACCATGTTGAATGAAGTGTTGTCTACCTTTGCTATCTGTCTGTGACAGCACAGCCCAGTTCGCATATCTACTAGCGTCTGTATCCAGGTTAAACGGGGTACCGTTGCGATTCAGTTCAGGGTAAGTAAGGATGGGTTTTCTTAAGGTTGGTGAATGCGCGTTCGCATTCAGCTGTCCACTGGAATGGTCAG